GTGTTACTGGGTTTATGTGAAAGCTATGAGGGAACGTAATTAATTACGATTGATTAACAGGTGTCCCCAGCCAAAGCTGAAGCTGGAGAGAGAGATTTTGTCACTGCGTTGGGAACACCCTTGTGCTGGGGTCATGGCGGGGAGATTTACCCCTCAGGACTGAGCCCGGAGGAGGCTTTGCAGCTTGGGCTGGGAGCTGCCAGTGGGTGCTGTGGTGGTGACAGGGTTTTCTTCTGCTGGGAGGGTCCCAGAAAGATGCCCGGCAGCTTTTTATCTCATTTCTTCTCTCTGGACACCTTTAATGTGTAGCCAAGGTGGGGGAAATTTGAAGTGGACTGAGAAAAATAGGAAAGGAGGCAGCACCACGTGGGCGAGGACATGGAGTCTCGAACCACCCTGAGCATCCAAGACGATGGCTGCTCCACGTGCCCCACGGGGCCCACGCTGCTCCCCCACCGGCTTCGTGTTTCCTCCAGCCGGGATGGGAGGTGAGATGGGAGCTGGTGCCCGGGTGCTGCTCCGTGTGATCCCCTCCCTGCCCCGTGCCGGGGGCGGCGTTGGAGGTTAGGCTGAAAAAGGGGAGTTATTTTTAAGCGTGGCATCTCGGCGCAGACTGTCATTACCATTCTCCGCACTTTCCTCTCCGGTGGGTGGGGAAGCCAGGGAGGGCTCTTGCAGCGTGGCGCGGCCTTGGACCCGTCAGCTCTCGGCTGCCTGGGTCCCCCTTCCCTGCGGGGAGGGGATTTGGGGGAGCTCAGCCATCACAGGCTTTAGCATCCCCGGCTCCCTCGGGGGGCTCGGATGAGGCAGGGGGGCTGCACTGTGTCTCAGCACTTTGGGGGGGTCTCACCCATCACCGCGGCCTTTAAACACGCTGCAGGCTGTGCTGGCTGATTTCAGAATCAGTTTATTCCCAAAGTCAGGAGAGTGGCTTTAAAGTCGCAATATTTTAGGAAAAGAAAAGGCAAAAAGAGGGGCTTTCTGTTGGTCAGGCGTTTCTTGAGTGCTCGTTACAGCCTGGGCTGCTCCCTCTACCAGGTCCCCGGGGCGATGCGCTGCAGCCGTGATGTGCAGAAGATCCACACGATTGGGATCCTGGGCACAGGATGGGGCTGTGCCCCGCGGATGGGCACCAGTGCAGCCCCTCATCTCTCGGCCGGAGGGAGATTTGGAGGCCAAATCTGCTTTTTGATAGCCTGTGGCATGCTGCAAACTCAAGCTGACAGTACGGTCATGGCAGGGGCAGAGCATCCCCGGGGCACCCAAGGGATGCAGGGACCCCACCAGCGAAAGGGACCCTTCCCAAATTCTGCTTTACCCCCCAGTCCAGCTCCTCTATTGTCAGAAGTGTTGGGATTTAGTGTCAAATTTTAGGAGCGTCTGTCTGCGAAGGCGGCGGGAGAGGATTGGGGTGGGAGGGTGGAGCCAGCAATATGCCTTCGTGATGGGGGGGATTAGAGAAATATTTGCGTTTATTTTAATGCCAGGCTTATTGCGGGGATTGGAAGCTTAACTCCGAACCTGGCAGCAGAGCAGCCCTCGTCTCGCTCTATAACGCTAACGGCATTTACATTTCTATACTGGCATTCCTCCCCACCGGGAATCGAAACCTCAAAACTGGAGGCGTCGGGTCCCAGTGAACCACGGCTGCCTCTGGGCTGGAGGGAGGTGGCCGGGAGCAAGGGGCAGCCCTGGGCCACCTCCTGTCCCAGCCAGGGCACCGGACTGTCCCCCTGCCCCGGTGGCACCCCGGGACCCCCGGCCCTGCCCTCCAGCTGAGCTGTGCCTGGTGCCGCCGCTCCAACATTG